GAACATCACATAGACGTTCTACTTTTTTACTCCTTGGTCCCTCTCTTTTTTTTACTCTACCACCATGTGCTCTCCTCCCCCTCTTTTTTTTTTTAACTTTCTTTTCATTGTTTTTCTCTCTTCTCTGTTGTTTGTTTTTGTTTTTGTTTTGTTTTGTTTGTTTTTCTTTCTTCTCTCTGGCCCTTCTTTCTTTCCTCTTGGTAAATCCCCTATTCTGTTTTATTATTTACCTTCTGTCTTAGTAATTTTATTCTTCCTCCAACCTTAGTTTTCTGAATCATCCTTTATCTAGTGGCTGTTTTACTCCCCACTCCCGCCCCACACAAACACTTATTATCACTCTAGACTTTAATCTGCCCCTCACTTCCCATCTGTTCATTATCTCCAGGTTGTCCATCTCATCCTGTTAGAGACAGACCATGTTGCTTCTTGCTGCCCACATTAGAAACAAGGAGCATTTTAGCTGGCCCACTTTTCTTCATTCTCACACCACATCCCACTTTGTAGTGAATGTTAATAACAACTTTAAAATATTTTTCCTAGAATAAAAAGAACAGACAACCAGTTCTGGGGCTGTGAAAAAGAAGATGACAGGCCCCCTTCACTTTTGTGTGAGGTGCCTAAGATACAGTCTTGCTTTTGTTGATGATTTAATTTTTTTGCTGCTGCTGACATTCCAAATAACATCTATTCCAACTGTCTTTATGCTCTACCTTTTAAACATACTCATACATAGGAGCTATTGAGAACAGAGGAAGCAATAAATACAGACTGGAGAAGAGAGCACATTGGACTGCCTAAGGAATTGGGAAATGCTTGATGTAAAAGAAAAGAAGCACAGTGGTAATGTTTTACAAAGCTCCTTTTATTTTTGAGGAGGTTTTGGCTTTCAGGCCCTTTTTTCAACATTTGTGGAATTCTCCATTGTGTTTTGGGATCGCTTACTGGCATGTGATTGAATAGAAATTACTCTTAATCATAGCAAAGTTTTCTATCTAAGCAAGTTTATGGCACAACCAACCAGAATAAGTGTCTCTTCCATTTTGGTGGGGTCTCAGCCTCTGGAAATAAATTATGGGATAAGAATTAAAGACTACAGATTCAGGCACATTTCAAAGTTCCAAACGGTTTAAACAAATCCCTGAAGCTACTCGCAACAAGCATTTCAGTATTTTTAAACTGGTAATCTTAAACCAAATTTGGAAAAGGAAGTTTCCTAGTTTTCAGCTGTTCAGGGAGCAAGAGATGCAGCACAGCAACCAAAAAGCTTTCTGCAGAAGTTCAGCTGGATGCAGTATTTGCAGCTGATGCATTTGGGTCCAGCTGCTAAGAGCCAAGTAGGAAGGATTTCTTCCCAGGGCAGATTGGGATATTGTTTATTGCAGCAACATATTACTAGGACTTCTATTTTATATTTGGAAGATTCCCTTGACAATAATGTTTTGTTTTACAGGAAAAGCCTAAAATACATGGACACTGGCATCGTGGGATGGTAAAAAGAATATGTGAGGCTCTTTTCTAACAAATAGTTTCTGAAAAATCTGCTATCTGTACAAACTTATGTGCATGAAACTTCTGGATAACTGATTCTGAGAGCTTTGACCCCCAAATTCATAATTCAGTCTTCACTGATGATGAAGTTGATGTTACAGTGTTACATCAATTGTTTTGTTCTTTATGTTTTTTGTGGTACTTGGTTTCAATCTACAGATAAAATCATTTGGAGATCAAAAACTGTACAGACACAAAACAATATGAAGGAGAAGGTATTAATTAAAAACAAAGAAACAAAACCAACCCACATACTTTGTTGTTCTTTTAAAATGCAAGACTGATTTCTTTTGACGTAAGCTCTTTCATTTCTGATGAAACAAACATATTTTAATACTCTTCCCCATTTTCTAGCAGAAGAAAGTACAATTTTTTTCCATAACTTTTAAATGAGTAATATTTTTTAGTATTTTAACAATTGCTTTCAATTTTTGTCATTTCTCATTCTGATAAAACCTGACCTTTAAGAAATCATTGCCCTAGAGAAGTAGTATTTCCGACTAACAGTGAACCTTTTGTTTGTTTCTTTTCAGCAGACTTTGCTTTAGAGATAATTTGCTGAATTTTCATCTGCATGATAATTTTTACTTGGTAATTGCTTTAAAAAATATTTATTAGAAGATTGACCCTTTTGATACATGTCGACAGATACTGAAGAATTTGCTCTCTTAAGTGTGTAGATTTGCAGTGCGCAGGAAGGACCAAGCAGTGATGCAGGTGATATCACCTCATGTGACAACATGATGGTACCACACACCGCAATGACTAAACTTTAGTTGGATGTATATGAGCCTTGAGATCCTGTGACAAAAATGGAATTAACTCCTGTCACTTCAGGAAGGAACTAGCAGGGACATATTAAGAAAAGCATAAATATTAGAAGTCCCTGGAAGCTAATGAGCCAGTTTCCTTTAGCTGAGATGACAGAGTGTCTGCCAAGAAATCCAAGGACTCAGTCTATGTTTCTCTCTATAAAGCAATTAGTCAATCAGTACCTTCACAGATCTGTGAAACAATCTGTCCTATTTCATACATCTGTGCAAGAATTGCTTTAAAGTGATAAGGTTACTGCAGTGAAGCCTGGCAAAGACTTTCACAATAGGGTTGTATGCTGTTAGAGTCATCAGCAGCATGCTAAGAAATGTCAAATGCAATTAAACCAAATAATTTTCAAATATATGCCATGCTTTGGAAATGATGAGGAATGCTTTTTAAAGCAAGAATTCTTGGCTCTGTAAGCACAGACCTGTAAAAATATTTTATTATCATTTCTATTATTACTACTATTACTACTATTACAACAACAACAAGAACAACAGTAATAATAATAGTTTTTGTCAGATAAATATTTTTCCTTTTTTTTTTTCTTCTGGCAACACCGTTTTTGGAAGATGTTTTTTTCATCAAGCAATTGTATCAAAAATCACAGAACCGCAGGTTCCTTCTATAAATTTGTCACAGTTCTTACCGAGTTTGCATTTAAGGATTGTCCCTGCATGTAATTCTGAGTATGTGGCATGGAATCTATTTTAAAGATTTGTGAAACACTTTGGCAAAATACCTGTTTACTGAAAAGTGACATTTTAAAGTACTAAATTGAAATTGTGTTCAGCTTTTAGTAAGCAGCTTTGGAAAAATCAAAAATAGAAGTTTGTAAATGGCTAAAGACTTGCTTCTAAAATAAAGCATTGAAGTACTACAGACTAATTTCACACAAGGATACAGTTTCCATTTGCAAAGATAAGAAGATAATGGCTCCCCTATACACAGTTAATTTAACTCTCCATGTACTGCACTGGTGTAGTAATTTATACTTGATCCTCCTTGATCACAGGCAAGCATTTTAGCAACATAGGTGTAAGGTATTCCAGGATAAAAGTGTCTCACTTCATGTGACACTGGAGCACTTTGATTTTTCATTCACTAGAGAGGGCTGTTTGGCCACTTGCCTGCCTAATAAGTAGTTGGTTTCTCATGAAAAAATATAAGAGACAACTGAAAATATCACTTCTGGTCATCTGCATAATCCCATATCCTCACCCAGTATACTGATCTGGAGATAACAGACCTGTATTTTTTTCACAGTATGGTCAAAGTATATTTTGAGAGTCTGAGAGGTATGGTGATTGCAAAGGTTCGTTACTGTCTGCAAGACAGGCATGTGCCCATGTATTCCAGGGAAGGTCTGGCCAGCCCAGCCTCACTTGTGTGTCTGAAGAGATAAGCATGGTTCTGGGTGCTGTCTTGGCACGGTTTTACAACTCAGAAGAGATGCTTTAGTCATGCCTGAGCTTTGCACAGTGGGGCAGAAAAGCAAAAAAACAGAAGACTTTTCTACTAGTTTGCTCACATATTTATTCACTTATGCGTTAAGACTGAACGTGATGTTGAAGGTCAAATCCCACTCCTGTTAGAGTCGATGGCCAAACCTTCATTCACTTGGTTAGGGTCAGTATTTTGTTGTAGTTAAATGTCAGGTGTCTCTTTTGAACACTGAGTAGCCTTTAAATCTGATAAAGCACATAAAGCACTTCCTTTGCCTTCTGGTAAAATAGTTTGGAAACTAAACTACTGGTTATTGAGAAGTTTGTGTTGAGTAAATTTCTCTCAGCTCCAGCATATTTTCTCTTTAGATGATATTTGGATTTAATGCAAAATTCTTACAGTCATCTCAGATAAAAAAAATTACTTGGGACTACCCTTTTAAAAAAGTGGACAGCAGACATAAAGACAACTGGAGAATATACCAATGCTTTTTAAGTGAAAATAAATAAATAAATTGCTAGAATGCCTTCATGTCTGAATTGGCTACTTAGAAAGTAAAGCGTTTCACATTGTATATAAAATGTTGAAGAACGAAGAAAAAACATTATGAAAAATGTCATTATTTTTTCTTTAATGCACACCAAATTTCAATCTACATTGTTATTTAAATTGACATTAAACAAATTTTAAAAGAAGTAAAGTTTAAGCTTCACAATACCTCAGTACCTATTGCTGTTTTAATTTACAGGTATTTTGATTTTATTTTGTACTTATTGATATTTGTATAAAACCAGTGAAGACTGCTTTTGAAGTCTGCACTGCTTTTATATATAAAAGGATGATATAATTACGTATTTATTCCTATGAGGTTCATTATCATGCAATTCCTTGTGGAATGAATGAATATCTTGAGAGAGAGAACACATTTTCTGCCTGAAAATACCATCCTCACAACCAGCAACAGTAAGTTTCATAAAGTTTGAAATCTCCTATGAGAACTATTCAGGATGACTATCCTCCTAGCAAAAGAGAATTAAGAATAAATTTGTGTCCTTAGCTCAATACAAACCCATAAAGTCAGCATTTTCCAATGCCAAAACCAAGAATTTAAATCAAGACAACTTTCAACAGGCAGCTACTGGCTACTTTTACTGGCTCTAGTAGACTGTCAATTAAATACTCACCTGACTAGTGTGGCTCTCCCTATGTCTTTGAATCGACGAGCCTGCCGTAGTGCTGGCTGACAGTCTTGAATATTCATTTTCCTCTGGTAGACCTAAAGAAGAACAATACTAATTTATAATCTGATGCTTGTGCATTGGCTGACTTCAGCATGAGATCCAAAAGACCGTGACATGTTATCCTAAAAAAAGAATGAAAAAATGACACATTTGCCTGGGTATTTACTATTTTCATGCCTAATAAAAAGGAACAGTTGTTGCTTGCCAAGTATTAATAGCATCATAGGTATGCTTGCTGGTCTACAGAAGGAGCAACTGTACTGAAAGAGTCCACAAATAACACATTACCTATACATCAGCCAGGGATTTCTCCTGCAGCGTGGAAATCCCTGGCTTCCCTCTGGCTCCTTTTCAGAGCAGAAGCAATGCAAAGGGAATGGAACACAGGCCTGCAGTCTGTTCTCTAACCAATGTCTTTAGGTTACATGGGAAGCTGACGGTAAGTCCAGGATTTACAACTTCATCTCCTCAGTACAGATGTTTTTCTTTGTAATTCTTGTACTTGTTGTGTACTCTCCCTGTGGGAATTATCTGCCCAAAATTTAGCTGTGTAAAAACTAGTCATCCACTGTAAAAGAGCCAGGCACTCAACCTCTGTAGTAAAAAAAACCTCAAACACTTCTGTACAGTCATCCTACAGTGGGGTTCACAGCCGGTGCTTCCCCACCACTTCTGTCAGAGTGGGAAGACCATTCACACAGCACTACAGTCATCTGGAAAGTGAGATGAGGGGATGCAAAGGCAGAGGCAGAAACACCGTCACTTCATGACAGGCGTTATTAAGACAATCACAAACTGAAATCACAGACACCATGGTAGACCTGGTGTCCTGCAATTTGCATTATTCTAGGCCACCACCAATGAAGAAAAATGCCTTCCTAGGCCATCAGCATGTTTTGAAAAAGATAATGCTCTTTCACTATATTAATACATTTTAGGATCTACCTTCTGTGACAGCCTTGAGCTAATAAGGTTATCAATTATTTTCTGTTTATTTCTATGAAAAGCACTTGCTGGCCTCTTCTCCCTAGTGACTAGTGATTGGACAAGAGGAAATGGGGTCAAATTATGCCAGGGGAGGTTCAGATTGGATATTAGGAGAAATGTCTTCACAGAAAGAGGCATCGGTGAGGCTTTGGAACAGGCTGCCCAGGGAGGTGGTACAGGCACCGTCCCTGGAGGTGTTAAGAAAACAGGTAGACGTGGTGTTTCAGGAGATGGTTTAGTGGTTAGGGGTTGTAGGGTGGATGGTTGGACTTGATGATCTGGAAGGTCTTTTCCAACCTTGGTGGTTCTGGGATTCTGTGAGAAGAGGTCTTACCAAATAAGTAAAGTTTCCATATACAGCAACAGCATGTTGTCACTGACATGGCAAGCAGAGGCTTGGTGGAGTTTGGAAAGATAAATGGAGTAGCTGATTACATTTTGAGAGTTTTCCTTTACATGTACCTAAGTAAATATTAGGATACCACAGCCGTGCACGGAATAAGACCTTGCTTAATTCATAACAAAGTTGGAATAAGCATCAGTTTAGCAGGGGCAGAACTACAAGAACAGAAGTTAATTGGTGTTTCAGGCTGGAGCACGAAATTACACCATTTGGACAGGACATTCTTGCAAATATTCTCAAGTTACCAAAAGCAAGCCTAATTTGACAATTTTTTGGCAAAATAGTGCTTGCTGACATTATTACTGAAATTACATGTGGTGGTGAAAATGATAGCATGGAAAATGATTCAATCAGTAACCTGTAACTGGAGAAATCAAATGAAAAAAAATGCATTCCATTTCTTTTCACATAATCAAGAATATGGTCTTGTCTCAAGCAATATGTGGATTCAAACAAGAAACCCCATCCTTTTCTCACTTACTCCCTGTTATGCAGTTTCTATATTGTCTTAAAGGAAGATCCCACACCCAATCCCTGATCTTCTTCCTACATTCCTGTTTCTTATTTCTGTTCCGTTCTCAGGTACTCCTTTTAAAATCCTTCAGATAGATAGTTTGCATCTCACATATTGAGATCTAGATTACTAGACATCAAGAGGTGGCTCTGCAGTTCCAGAAAACTTCCAGTTTCGTAAGCTCTGTGAGCCCTGAACTGGAGACCCTGCACCTCCTGCCTTCCACCATTGATATTTGCAAACCAACAGCAACACCAGAGAGCCTCTGCATCTTTGCAACTGTGGATACACACAAAATTCCCCAAACCTTCTACCTTCTTCCATGCTTCTACATTTACACACTGGCTGGATCTACTGACCAGCTCCACTTGATACATTTGCTGCTATAGTGTGAAAGAGGCATCACCAGGAGAGGTGAGATTTAAGGCTCTGTGCTCAACAGAGCCCGTGCCATGGTGACATGCTCCTTTTCTGTCAGATCATCTGCTGTGACACCTCTTCATGCTGTGACTTGTTGCCTGATGTGTGGTAAGTTTCAAGGGACTGTATAGCAGACTGTAGCACACAGGTGACAGAATGGTGACCTTCTTGACAGCTAAAGTTAGACAAGGCTAATCTTCTTACCTGGATAAAGCATAGGGATCTTGGTGAAACAGACAGGCTCTCGACAACTACTCTTATGCTGATCAGCACAACCTATACAGTGGATCTCCACAGTCAAGCAGTGGATCTCAGTTGCAACTGAAGAGGAATAACCAGAGAGCCTTCTTTCCAGAAACAGCAGCATGCCAATGGAACTGGATGAGCAGCACAGTGCAAGGTGCATGCCTGGGTGAGCATTAGGGAAGATGCAGCACTATGCTCCTGCATCCAACATAGCTCTCTCATCTATACAATATCTACTCTTTCATTTGGATTACACTGGGTAAGTACCTCACTCTACTGGGGCAAGGAATTGTCAGATACCTGGAGAATGTGTCCCTTTCACTAACCAAAGGCTAGGTCACCTCAGTCACTGATTATAATAGTCAGATTCAAACATTTCACTTGCACTCCTCTATATCCTATTAGGTACTAGTTGGAAATAACAACACATTTCAGGAAACTGCTACCTGCAGTGTTCGAGAGGATCTGCTGCTTTGGGTGATTCAGGAACACAGCTTTCAGCATTGTAATGCAAAAGGCTATTATAGGCTTTCTGATTACTCTTTGTGTTTGGACAAGAAATAGGAAAAAAGCTCTTTATTTTAGACTAAAAACTCTAGTAGGCGTGGAAGGTTTGCTGCAGAAAAGTCACAGTTTGATAGCACAGAGCTGTAGAAAGCTGTTACTCCTAATATTAAAGATAAACTAAAGAAAAGGATTACATTATATAAAATGAAAAAGCTACTTCTGTTAAAATTCGGGACTAACAGCAGTACCAGAAATTAAACTCAGCTTCCAATGCAGCATTAATCTGTTTGGAAGCTGAGCCAGCCAGTTTTTTAGCTGCTTGGTAATGGTTTTCTAAAGAATTCATCAAGTTATAAGAAAGATTAACATCTTGGTCAAAATGATTATTCTTTTGAGCATGGTGACTTTAAGTTTCATGATGCTTCAGAGGAGTGGTGCTGACACTTCATTTATGACAGCAAAAGACTAGCCTTATTTAAGAAATCGCTTCTGTACTAGCCCATATGAGTAATATATGAATCCAGAGTTTGTTTCTATCACTGGAAAGTAGATTATATAGTTGCATTGTGTAACAATGGGGAGCTGATTACTTTGTATTCAAGAGTTTTGTAATCTCAGTATTAACTATTTAATAGAGCATTTCAGGTTTAATTTTCCTCAAAGTTGCAGAATTTTGGTATACGGTAACAAAGGAGTGAAAAAGTTTTTTACATGGGAACATCTCATGGCACATCCTCAAATATCAGTATTGCATAGATATATCCAAGAAGACACAGATTTCAGAATCACAAAGATGTTAAGGTTGAATCCTAAAAGGTTTTTTTTCTTAAGTAAACTTGCAAAGAGATTTTTAATTCATGTAATCAAAATACACCACAGCTTTCCATATCGTAGAATCTTTCATTTATTATTAAGGGTAGCTGGAAAACTAGCATTCTGTATTGCAAAAATTATTACCTGATTTTGCCCTGCATCAGGGTAAAATCAAAGCTTGCTTCATTTCTGCAATAGTCTGATAGGCAAAACATAGATTTGAACCTTGAAATACCACAAATAATGCTAATTTCTTCCCCAGTGGGATACTGCCAGACCTAAAGGGAGTTTTTTTCTACTCTTGGAAATTACATAATGTCAAAACCATTCCTTATCAAAGCTGCATCAAAACTGGGAACCTTCCACATAAAGTTTGATTTTGATGTATCAAGTGTTTTTAAAGGTAAAAAAATAAAAATAAAAAATCTTACTGGAAAATTCCACTGCACAACTTAACACCTTTACGATTAAACTTTCCATTCACAAAGAGTTTGAAAAGAATTAGTTTATGCATAATAGATACTGTACGTTATAAATATCTACAGCCCTGGCTACTAGTTGTTGCAAATAAACAACTTCACACAAGAAATTACAAGCACCCACCTCATCTGTTAGTTGGCCTTTTATTGAAGCAATGACTATGTCAGTAACTGAGATTGTTTACTAATGTAATAATCACAAATTACAAACTTAAGCATCATTTAATTTCTAAGCTGAAAGAAACTTAGCTCTTGTGATTAAACTCCAAGTTAAGGGGTCTGGGGATAAAATGGTTGCTCTTATAAAAGCTGATCTCCCACAGAGCCCGTTAGGACACCAGAACACATGGTTAATGTCCTACACAGAAAGGAATCAAAGACTTGGTCTACCCACAGTTTTTGTGTAAATTTAAGAGTCATACATGTATGTATGTATGTATTTCAGTATGTATGTTATACATACTGAAAGTATGCTCCACTCCTCCCCTGAATATTATATGGATACAAAAGGGGACACAGTTGGAATGGATAAAGATGCCTTTTTCTTCTGTCAGAGTACGTTCCTGGTTCCATACAGGAATGAATGCACCTGTATGCTCATATAGCTTCTCAGACTGGATGAGTTTTCTGCTTTAATTATCAGAGAGTGCAAGAAGAATTATATTGGCCAAGCACTGCAGAATTTGTAGGACAGGCATTCTTGAAAAGAATTACTTGGTTTTGAAATGTTTCACTTTCATAATAAAGCATGATAATACAAAAAGAATTACAGCATATTTAGAGAACAAAACGCCATATTTCACTTGAACTAAGATTTTTCCCCATTTGATTTTTCCAATATATCTTTCAAACTATCAACTGCCTTATGTGCAGTTCTGCCCCTAACAGGAAAGGATATACAAGTGTTCTGCTTAAATAAACCATATTTAGGCTGAAGTTTTCAGCATGAAGATAATCATACAAATTATCATGCAAGTATTTAGGCATCTGCTTTGTCACATTCCATAAAAAGAAATACTTTCCATTTGTCTGATGTTTGCTCATACTTGTTTATTTGTATTATGTGATTCTGTGTTATATGGGTGTTATATCCTTAGGATTTATGCTTTTAGAACCTTGAATGATTTCATTCTTTCTGTCTCAAGAGACATTGTTTTATTTTCTTCACATTCAACTTTTATAGGAGAGGGTCTTATCAGTTTACGCACACAAAGTTAAGCCAGTTCCAGAAACACGGATATTTCACAACTCAGAAGATTTCAGCTTGACTTTATCTTAAAAAGCTCATTCAAGGAAACACTTCAGCAACTTTATGTTATAAGAGCTTTGGGATTAAAAACTGCTTACCATTTGATACTGAATTTCCATTTTCAGCAGTCACAGAACTGGACAATGGATTAGATGACTGAGTTCCATGGTTATTTGCATTTTTATCCTGGGTTTCTGATGCAATATCTGATGCACTTGGATCTTCCCTGCTCCTCAAGTTCAGATTAGTTTCATCACCTGACACAAACACAGAAAAAGCTTGTCAGCGTCTTATTAACTAGTGGCTTTCACATGTAAGTCTAAAAAGCTAACACACAGAAACCAAATTAGTTTGTTAAATTAATTTAATTCATCACTAAATTAATAAGTCCAGTGATAAATGTAGAAAGTTTCAATCAGTGTTTTTTGGAGGTTTTTTTGTGGTTTGTTTTAGTTTTGTTTTGCTGGTGTTCCATGTGTAGCCATAAAAAGTTTATGGAAATGAAAGGCATCAATAAAATTTCATTTGTACTGTTTCTTTTCACACAAATACCAGCTGATAAACCTCAACAAGGTTTGTATTTCTTCTGTTTTCTATTCTATTCTAGTTCATGAGAGTTCATATACCACTGTCATCACTGCAATGCTTTTCTCCAGTGCATTAGGTGATACTAGCAAGAGCTCTAACATGAGGTTATTTTTTCTCTTATCTCCACCCCCAAGAAATAAATTTGCCTTTGATATGAAACTATACATAGCAGGATTCCTCCCAGCAGAGCCTCCCCATGGGCATAATTTTTACTGCCTTAGGCTCTCCAGCCATCATCTGCCATTTCCTATGAAGTTTCAGGGTTTCATGTCATAGCCTTCTAGCTACATTTCTTCAAGACATCAAGAGGAGGCCAGATCCTGTGGGAGTTTCCAAGCAATGTACAATGCACAGGCATTTCTTCATAGAGAAGGGAAAACCTTTTCTCCTCTCCCCCCCTCTGACTGATGGCAGAATAGCTGACAGCAAAGTGCCTGGAGCTGGCTCTGAGCTTGCCCAGCTTTGTCAGCCCAGTGTGCCACAAGGGCTCAGCCATCAGCTGTTCCTGAGAAGTGCTCCCCTCTGGATTTCAAGGGCCAGAGACAGGCCAGGGGCTGGGAGACAAGACTGTGAACAGATGGGGATGGTAGGAAGGACCCCACTGCAATTCTGGTACCTTTGGCTATCCCTGCTCCCTCCCTATGGGACAAGAATGGGGAGGCTGCATGAGGCTGCACGGGCAAGGCTGTGCTGGTTTTGATGGATTTCTCTCTCTTTTCAGGGTTTCCCTTCATTTTGTGGGTAACATATATACATACTTTTTCCTTGAACTAATCAGGTTTCTTTCACAGGAGGCAAAGCTGAATCCAGTTCTCTCTCTAACTCCATTTCCTTTTTCCTAACTCTTTCCACCCCTTTGAGGGTTATCCTTAGGTGTGGGGCTGACATATTATGGCTGATCTGGGTGCAGAGGCTCTCATTGAGCAGTAAAAAATGAAAATTTTTCTTGTATGACAGCTCTCAAAGAACTATTCCTTGAATTTGGTTGTGTCTATTTGTCATAATAACAGCAACACCACGAGAGGTAAAAAAACCTAGGCATTAAAACCAACATTACAGCATTCATCCATACTTGCAATGATATCCTCAGCTCTCCTAAAGACACAATAGAGTCATATAAGTCTTCAGCATGTGAGCATTTTTCAAGGCGATAGGAGAAACATTTTTTCACCAGGTAACAGACACTGTGACTGCAGGTTTTCGAACAGGCTGTTGACTGCAAGATCGATTTTTCATTTTTATGCCTAAACTGCAAAAGACCCACCTGGTTTAGAAAGTGCAAACATTTAAAAAATGAATTAATGAAACAAAAACTATATAGAATCATAGAATTGTTTTGGTTGGAAAAGACCAGTCCAACCATTAACTCAGCACTGCCAAGTCCACCATCAAACCATGGCCCTAAGCTCTGCATCTACATGTCTTTTGAATACCTCCAGGGATGGTGAATACATCCATTCTGATAAACTTGCAATGTTTCATTTCACTGAAAAGGGTTTTCTTGGGTTTTTTTTCAGTTATCTAGTTCTGAATCTTTCTTAACATTCCCTTTTCTAACAAAAAAGCTCTTTTTGAAAAGTCAAAAAGTTTGTTTCCAAGCTGTCAGAATACAACACACTAATTTTTATTTTCTCTCTTCCTTGCCCCCCTTCCTTGATCATTATTTCTTGGCAGATATGATTGCAGTGTTTCCTGGTGCTGCTTCACTGCACATTTACACAAATGTGCTATGCAATGAAAAAAACCAGGCCAGCTCTACCCACAGTAACTGACCTGGGAGAGGCAGCAGAACCAGAGCCTGAGCTAGAAAATGCATTCAGCACAATTATAAGAGGATGCCTGATTTAGCTTTTGTACAAGCAAGTTGACTGCAAAATGCATCTTTGCAGTTCCTATTAAATTTGTCTGAAAAGGAAATGTCACTTTTAGATGTTAATAGTCAGCGCACTTGCTTAGAGATCATAATCCACCTACGTAACTATTGTGCCGCCTTTTACATGAAGAGTAACAGGGGAAGTGGCTGGGATCCTTATTTTTCTTGATATCCAAAAGGTTTATTGATTTGCCTTTATGAACCTGCAATTCATTTGAGAATGTGCAAGTAGAAAGACTTTTTCTTGCATTCCTATTTGCAGAAGGCTTTTGTTTCATAGCTACATTGATATCTTTTCACGGCATTCATGAAGGGCTCCATGGGAAAAAATTATCTTTTCTCCTTTATATCTGTAGCACGAGATATCACAAAGAATGATGAATAGCTACTATTGAGCTAAAATATCATCCTAAATTGGCAGAAACAAGTAGTGGACAGTTATGCAGCATATCTTTTGGCACAGCTGTCTGGAGAGACCTCTTATCCTGTTTGTTCTCTTCAGTCAATATAAGAAACATGCCTTTAGTTTCTAAATAGAAGACTATATAGAGAAAATACATTTCATAGTGTCTTATTTATTTAATCTTGGGGGTGGGAAAGAAGCCTATGTATTGTTTCAAAATAATCTGGATTACATAAAGGTACTTGTACTAATTTTCTATATATAAGCATCTTCAGATTCTTGTTTCAGCAGAGTCATAGGAGTCTGCAGAAAAAAGTGTAACTGCATATGCTGGCTAACTTCTAAAAGACTCCTGGAGAAGCCAGAGTGTATCCCTTGCAAACAAGTACTGCTTGTTTACTTTGGACTATGTGAAAAATAGGTGAGTTTCTTTTCTAGAAATAGGATAACGAGAGGATGCTTTAGTCAGGTGTAACTAATGTACTGCCACAGTGCTGCAAAACTTAGGCTGGGATTCAGGCTGGAAGAGACCTCAGGAGCTCCCTCATGCACCCCTGCTCCAAGAAGAGCCAGCTGTAAGATCAGACCAAGTTGCTCAGGGCCTTGCCTGCTTGGGTCCTGAAACCCAAGGATGGAGCCCACCCCCCTCCCTGGGCAGCCTGTTCCCCTGCCCACCCCCTGGCCTGACTTTCCCCTGGGGAGAGGTTCCAGTACCCAGCCTGACCTCTGATAGGGTCAGTTCCCCCCTGATGAACCTTGTTGTCCAGCTGTGACAGGCCTGGTGCCCCAGCTCCATCCCTTCCCTGTAGGCACCAGGGGGACTGTCAGGTGCCCCAAAGCCACCTCTGCCCCAGGCTGGACATGTCCCCTGTCCCAGCCCCTGCTTGGGGACACTCTCCAACCTTGAGCGTGATGGGGATGAACTCACTCCAGGTTGTCGGTGTCTTTCCTGCACTGGGGGCACCAACTGGCTGTGGTACCCACGTGTGGCCTAACAATGAGTGCTGGGCAGAGGGGACATGCCCTGCCCAAGCTCCTGGTGGTGCTCCTGCTGATGCAGCCCTGGATGCTGCTGCCTGTCTCTGCTGCCAGGACTTGCTGCTGGCTCCTGCCCAGCTCCCAGGGCCCCAGAGCCCCTTCCCCAGAGCTCCTCCTCAGCCAGTCTGTCCCCAGCTTATATCCTTCCTAAGTGTAGTACTTTGCATTGTTTTTTTCAGTAAGTTTTAACAGGCCAAAAAGCCCTGACTTCATCTTCTGCACTAGGGTATCACTCTCTGTCCTGCCTCCCCACTACCCAAAGTATCCCTGAGCATAAAAAATATGTCTCCTGACATTATTGGTATAATACTTCTATTCCACACAATGTATAATTGCACAGCGGTGTCTTAGACAGGAATGCTCTGGACAATTATAAAAGATACAGGGAAGCTCTCTGTTAACACTAAAAGCTTAGAAAATCCCCACTAATTTTATCCATCAAATAGTGGTCTGAAATTCACTTCACCCTCCTGTTTTCTCAGTCATATGATTTATAATTTTGGACTTTTTCCACATTAATATCAACTTCCCTCTGCTGCCTTGAACCCTTGCATATAGAAATATGCCCTGCTCTCTCATCTCATATCAATGTTCTGAATCTATCAGAAATACTTTAGTAAAGAGGAAAAGAGAAAACTATGGTTCCTACAGTTGAACATCATAATTGACAGGCAGAATGTTAGCTTTTTGTTCAGACTTGCACTCTGCTGTTCTCACCAGATGGATGGATGATTTACCAGGTTTTGATTTTTAATTTATTTTTTTTTAAGTGACAGCATCTTAACAGTTTCTAGGTAGTAATAAATGTTATTTGAAGAGTCATCCATGCCTACTTGTGAGAGACTAGCTACAGAGAGGTATAAGCTGTAGAAGCATGGTGGGAGTTCATGATTATAAAAGGAATACAAGCTTTAAGTGAAAACCTACAGACTGTTTGCAACAGTGAACAGCATTTGGATTATTATTTCAGCAAACTGACTGCCAAAAAGATATCTCTGACTCAGTCAAATTCTGCTCTGGCTAATCTTGCAGTTAATGAGAATACATGGCCTACAAGGAGGTATGAATATTTGGACTGGGGTATAATTTGCCCCTCATCTGCACCATAGTTAATAGCTGGAAAAAAATCACATCTACAGTGCTCTTAATCAGAGTATGACAAATCAAAGTATAATAATGATTTCCTTACATGCAAGTATTGTATTGCAATAAACCCATAATTAATTACATCAACATTACTTGAAAAGTGTAAGAGGAAAAGTATGCAAAAGAGGCAGCTCACAAAATCACCATTTATTTATTAGTCTCAGTGTTACTGGAAGAACAGGATTTAAAACTCATGACAAAGTCACAAG